ACACACACACACACACACACACACACACACACACACACACACACACAGTGAGAGAGAGTCACATATATGCATAAGAGTATATATGTATCTACCTTGATGCCTATCAAAGCACGAGTTGAATCCAATCCAGTACAATGGAGTTAAAAGAACATTGGCTGTAGAGACTATGAAGTTAATGTTTATTGTTCATTTTGTTTGACAGACGTTCAGTCTATGAGTTTAGATCACTGACATTAAAATGGTTCAGCAAGTACTTAGCCCCCCTCCAATATTTTGCTCTTAGTATTGTTTGTTTTGTCTTCTTTCTCTTTTTCTCTTTCATCTGTCTTCTCTAGATTTACTAGGGAATTTAAATAATGAAACTTCAGCTTAGTATTTTTGCCATGTTTTATATACACTCATTTATAACATGAATTCTTAATCAGAGACTGTTTTCAAATACTGCTTATCTTAAGATGTTATGAGAAGATCTAGCATAATCATATTTCCAATGTAGTACACCCTCCTTTCTGCTGTTATTATAACCTTATTTTACATGTGCTATAAACATAGAGTATATTGTTTCTATTTCTGATTTAAGCAGATCTTTAGAGGAATAATTAAAATAAGACATTGAATACTTTCCTTTTTCTTTTCTTTTTAACAATTCATTGCTCTCCCACTGTCTCTGTGTGGATAACGTTTTTGTACTTGTTATATATTTTGCCTGAAGAACTCTATAAATTTCTGGCAATGCATGTCTCCTAGTAGTGAATTATTTGTTTTTGTTTGAGAATTCTTTATCTCAACTGTATAAACTGCCTTTCTCAGAATAGAATTATGATTTGGCAGACTTCTAAAAATATTTTAAGGAAACTTACTCCATTGCTTTCTAGTCTAGAACTTTGCAGGGCAGTCATTCTTTCTCTGCTTTTGAGGTTCAGATTTATTTAGAAATTGGGCCTTCATGGTCAGCTTCTATATGAAACACTTAGTGTGTGTGTGTGTGTGTGTCCATGTATATATGTGTGTTGTGTGTGCATGTGGGATGGGGTTTTGCATTTATTCTGAAGGATATTTTTGAGCAACTTAAGAATTGTCATTATTTTAGGGAAAAAATTGAACAGTATTAAACTGTATATTTATTTTTGTACACTCTACTTCATTCTCCTCCTTTGAGGTTTCAGTGACACACTTGCTCAGGAGATCCTGGATGCTCTTTCTAGTCTATAATTTCTCACTTTTCAGAATTTATTTTATTTGGTTAATTGCTACTGACCTCTCTTGTATTGATTTACTTCTAACCGCCATTGTCTGCTTATTGGATTTTCAATGGAATTTTTATTTCCTCTTACCACTTTAACCCTATGGTTTTTATTTCACTATTTTTATATTTTTCTTTTTTCTAAAATTATTAACCAACTTCTGTGTAATATGTCCTTCCTATTATAAATGTGAAGAGGGTAACCAATTCAATGGTAAAACTTTGTTTTAGATATCCTGTTAAATATTTCCTAATCTGTACCATATTTGAGTAGCTCTATGACAATTATATCTGGAGGGTATGCTTATTTTTTCTAGTCATCAACTTTCAAGCTTTTGGATAAAATATACATATAGTCAGAGATTACAGAGACTAAATGATCTTTTTCTGATTGCAAATGGGTATGTCTTTAACTCTTCTGGGTATTTTTCCATGAATCTAGTCAGAAATTGAAATTGGTTTGATAGTCTTTGAAAACTTTTGCTGCTATGGTTACCCAGAGTAAAACACGGGATTTAGTGTGAGAGCTGAGTACAAACAAGATTTTCTCAGGGTCTGAACAGCTCCTTTCTTGACACACTTCGGAGAGCATCTTCTTGGCATCTCTCTCATCATTTACACCATGACTGAGTGCTTGGGGACAGCAGAGAGCTGGGTTGTGATGCTACCTTGCAGCCTCTGATACAGTGTTAGCAGACATTCCTGCTCCTTCTTCTAGTTTGTCACATGACTTACACTTTAGCTTCTTTCCTGGTTTGGGTATTTTATTTCATTTCTTCTACATGCAATATTGCCTCAGCTACAATGATTCGACACTAGTACCCTGAAGCTGGGCAACTCTGTTCCTCTTTCTCACCACAGGTTAAGTATTTTGCCATATAAAGCAGACAAGAGTAGAGTCTGAAAAGTTTTCCAAGTGATCACAGAAGTTCTGATTCCTGTTTACTAGCCTTGTTTCCTGTTTTTGAGCTCAATTTTGTGTTCATATTACAACAGGCAGTCTCTCTCAGAACAGCTGCCAGGTTTCACTGCGTTCGGTGCATGGTGGGGTTCTTGCAGAAAAGACGTGTTGTACTTAGATGTACATACTTAGATGTCATACTTAGATGTCAGGGCCCTTATACTCATCCCATAGCCTTCATTCATTCTGTCTGCCCCTGAACTTCATTGTGGGGAAAACCTAGTTTGATTAAATTCAGTATTTGTGTGTACTGAAGCTTAGTTCTAATCATGTTTCCTGGGTTGTCTGTCCATCCATACTTGCTTTTGTAGATGTTCCACTCCTGTCTGGATAGGTTCTTTATCTACCATTTCAAAAAAAAAATTCTCTTTAAACCCCAATACTAAACTTTCTTCTTTATATATCAATTAATCACTTCCTCTATTCTGAACTGCTGATATTTTTTCCAACTATAGCCACAATTTGATTGATACTAAATCCACACAGTCTGTGCTGTTTGGCTAAATGCTTTGAACCTGTTTTTTTCTTCTGGATTGCTAGACATGGTAGTGAAGACCCCAAGGCTTCCTTTTTTCTTTTCCTCATTTTTCTTTATTATGCCTTATTTTTCTTCTGTCTCATTCTTCTATAGATTTCTATAATTTTTTTCTCTAAATTTGTACAACTCTAGCTTTGAGTCCCATTAGGACTTGTTGCATGTTGGACTCTGTGGAAACCCAGCTGTAATACTGAGCTGTGCTTTATGGACGTTTGTGACTGTGGGGCTAAAGGATCACCATCAACACGTCTGGAAGAAGGGTAGGAAATTTCTGGAGCATGAACAGAAATTTGGTCTGAGTGTAGATATGTGTACCATAGCTCACACATATTTGAGCATTCTATTTGGAACTTGGGAGCTAGAACAGCTGCTTTACATAGTATTCTAATGGGGTAAAGGTGAACTGGCCTTAAGAATCACCCCAAAATTTCCAGCCATGTGCAGTACATAAACAAATAAACAAATTCTCACCTAATAAGAGACCTTATTGGCAAATCAATCATTGTACCTGCATGCTCCAGTGGAAAGGGTGTTGTCTTGGGCATGGCAATATTCTTTAGCCAAGAATTACTTCTAACTGGAGTCACATACCTGTAATATTTCAGTAACCATTTCATTTTGTTCTCAGAGAACAGAAATAAGGAATGCTTTGTTCTCAAAATGGAAGGGATTTGGATGACTACCACACAGATCTTTTAAATGTAACTTCAAATTTAAGTTCCTTTTAAATTCTGACTCCCAGAAACCTTCTTTCTATGATACATGGGATAATCGCAAACTATGTACATAAGCTACATGGAAGGTGAAGGAAGAAAGGAGGAGGAGAACGATTTTAAACAATGATTACTTAAAATTTCCCCAAATTTCTGTTGCAAAACTACAGATTCAAGAAAACTCAGGGAGTGTGAAGACAAATAAATGACAAAAAAGTTATGAACACTGAGGTCTGTATTTTCAAATACAGAAAATGAGAAATGAAAGAAATCCTGAGAGCAGTCAAAAGTAACTTCTCTTCAGAGATTATTAAAATGACAAATTTAGTGTGAAATATTAATAGTGTTCCGGGAAGAAATTATCAACCTAATGTGTATGTTACTAAAATATCATTCATTTTTAAACTTTGGGATGCTACACAAATTTTCAGACCATCCTTGAGCAGGGGTGACTCTGATCTTTACTGTATTGTTATGATTTCAGGATATGTGCTGAAGAAATTAGCACCAAAGTTATCTTTCAAATGTGAAGAATGAATAAATAATGACAGAATTCTATTTTTATTCACAAATCATTCTGGAAAGAAATGGGAAAGAAAAAGAGAGGCAAAAAATGAAACTCAGATATATAAAAGAGAACTAGATAAGTAGTCAGAATATAATAGTCAGATAAGAATATATTAAAACTTTTCATTTTTAGTTATATTTGCTTGATCTGAAGCATGACAATGAGAATAATGCATACTGTGAATTTGAGTGTTCATCATATCATACATATATTCTTATATGTATAGTAGAAATTAATTAAGCCATTGAGTCAAGGGAAATAGAGCTGTATTACCTGTAAGTTTTTTATTATAAATTTTGGAGCAACCACTGCTATAAAACAAAATTTTAAAGCATTATGAAACAAGCTGAGGAATGAAACAAATGTAATCATCAAATTTATAGCAAAAATCACAATTGATGAAAAAGTGTAAAGAACAAAAAAATGTTGCCTATTGATCTATTTATATGAGCAGTCAGTTTAATGTCAATGGTTTAAGTGCATCTTTTAAGTAGATTTTCAGGGAAAATTGAGAATAAGGTGTCAACTGTACATTATCCATAAGAGAAGCATTGCAATTAACCAGGGACCAACTGAGAGAAGTGATTATGCAATAAATAGTTGCCATTTCTGATGTAGGAGGGTCATCTTTCTATGTGTTGCTTTCATTGGTTGAATAAAGAAAACTGCCTTGGCCTTTTGATAGTGAAAAGTTTAGAAAGGCAGAATAGACAGAAGAAAATGTTGGGAGAAAGAAGGAGGAGGCAGAGAACTGCCGCCATGGAGCCAGCCGCCAGGTCAGATATGCTAAATCTTTCCCAGTATGTCACGAACTTGTGGTGTCATACAGATTATTAGAAAAGGGTTGGATCAAGATGTGAGAGTTAGCTAATAAGAGGCTAGAACTAATGGGTCAGGCAGTATTTAAATGAATACAGTTTCCGTGTAATTATTTTGGGTATAAACTAGCCGGGCTATGGGGAACGCAACCCGCCACTCCTTTTAACACACATTTCTGTCCATATTCCCTTTCATTACACACTTTCCCCTTCACTCTTGATTCTTCCATTCCAGACACCCCCACCCACCCATCCATATCTGTTCTCTTCCCCTTTCCTAATGAGATCTGTTAGTTCACTCTAGTCCCTTACTCTACACCTACACTCTGTGGTTCTTTGGATTGTTGTTTGCTTGCCACTGACTAAACAGATAATAAACACATATAAATGAGTACATACCATATTTGCCTTTCTGAGTCTAGGGTATCTTACTCCTGGATTGTCTGTCTTCAGTGTGATAGCTTTTATTTTAATACATTTAAAAAAACTGAATGAATGAATACAAACCCAGTGACTACAGTAAATGTTAACAATGAACTGTCATTTATACCTGCTGGGAGAGGGAGAATTAGATTTCCCTAATGGAATGACCCAGGGCATATAAATCACTCAAAGGCAGAGCTCATGTTCAGGAGTATTGACCAATAAGTAAACAAATAACTGACTCCAATGCATTTTTGTTTTGTTTTAGTGTGTGTGTGTGTGTGTGTGCACGCGCACACACACTTTTATTGGGCAAAAGTTTTGTATTATCTTTTATTTCTTTTGGGGTAATGTATTTTATTTCTAGGTCTTGGAGATTCTGTAGTTGTATTTGGTTTTTGATTTTTTTTGAGAAATACAGTTGGGTGATAGAGAGTGGGAGAGGATCTGGGTGAACTTGTGGGGAGGTAAAGAATATGCTAAAAATATATTTAAATTTAAAAATTGTTTGAAATAATAATTGAAAAGATATTCCATGTTAGCACTACAAAAAGAGAGGGAAAGCGACTGTGTTAATATAGGACTGAGGAGCCCTCAGAGAAAGGAGAGGCTTCCTAGGTGAGAATATGTGTGGGTTGAATAAATAAAGAAGAGATGGAATTACTTAATGGCATGTGTCTAATAATAGAGTAAAAAAAAAGATGTGAGTCAAAATTTCCATATAAACTTCTTAATATCATACAGGTAAAAGGAAACTTCTTGAGATAAATTGAAAACTACCTGAAATAAATATATTTAAAGATACAATTTAGTAAATCTGTGAGTTACAGTGAAAGCTGCTCTCGCAGGCAGCTATGTGACACTGTTAGCCAAGAGAAGCTAAATTTTATCGCCTCAGTTTCTACTTTAGAAGAATATTTATAATATTAAATCCTGAATGAATGTCAAATAAATAACAAAATTTTAATAGAGTAGATTAATTTTAAGATAAAAATTGTTTCCCTTATGTTTCTATTATTCTTTGATAGCAAATATATTTATCACACAATGTTTTTTTAATTTTTATTGAGCTCCACATTTTTCTCTGCTCCCCCCTCCCTTTTTCCCTTCCCTTCAACCCACTCCCATGGTCTCCATGCTCCCAATTTACTCAGGAGATCTTGTCTTTCTTTTTTATTTCCCAAGTAGATTAGATTCATGCACGTCTCTCTTAGGGTCCTAATTATTGTCTAGGTTCTCTGGGATTGTGATTTGTGGGCTGGCTTTCTTTGCTTTATGTTTAAAAGCCACCTATGAGTGAATATACATGATAATTGTCTTTCTGGGTCTGGATTACCTCACTCAAAATAATGCTTTCTAGCTCCATCCATTTGCCTGCAAAATTCAAGATGTCGTTATTTTTTTTTCTGCTGTGTAGAATTTCATTGTGTAAATGTACTACATTTTCCTTATCCATGTATGATCAAGGGGCATTTAGGTTATTTCCAGGTTCTGGCTATGACAAAAAATGCTGCTATAAACATAGTTGAGCACATGCCCTTGTAACACAATTGAGCATCCTTTGTATATATACCCAAAAGTGGTATTACTGTATCTTGAGAAAGGTTGTTTTATAATTTTCTGAGAAATTATCACCCTGACATCCAAAGGGGCTGTACCAGCTTGCATTCTCACCAGCAATGCATGAGTGTTCCCTTTACCCAACAACTTCTTCAGCATAAGTTTTTTCTTTTTTTTTAAATATTTAATTAAATACTTTTTTTTTTTTGCCCCTCCTCCCAATGCCCTCCCACTCCCCCCACTACCTCTCTTCCTCCCTCTGTAGTCCTAAGAGCAGTCAGGGTTTCCTGCCCTGTGGGAAGTTCAAGTTCCTCCCCGCTCCCTCCAGGTCTAGGAAGGTGAGCATCCAAACAGACTAGGATCCCAAAAAACCAGTACATACAGAGGAAACAGTGCCATTGTCAATGGCTTCTCAGACAGTCCCTGTGTCAGCCACATTCAGAGAATCCGGTTTGATCACATGCTCCTTCAGTCCCAGTCCAGCTGGCCTTGGTGAGCTCTCATTCCATCAGTCCCCTTGTATCAGTGGGTGAGCTCACCCCTCACGGTCCTGATTTCCTTGTTCATGTTCTCCCTCTTTCTGCTCCTCATTTGGATCTTCGAGGCTCAGTCCAGTGCTCCAGTGTGGGTCTCCGTCTCTATCTCCATCCATCGTCGGATAAAGGTTCCCTCTGATCCTGACTTCCTTGTTCATGTTCTCTCTCCTTCTGCTCCTCATTTGGACCTTGGGGGCTCAGTCCAGTGTTCCAATGTGGGTCTCTGTCTCAATCTCCATCCATCGTCGGATGACGGTTCCCTCTGATCCTGACTTCCTTGCTCACATTCTCCCTCCTTCTGCTTCTCCTTTGGACCTAAGGAGTTAAGTCAAGTGTTCCAATGTGGATCTCTGTCTCTATCTCCATCCATTGCCAGATGAGGGTTTTATGGTGATATGTAAAATATTCGTCAGTATGTTTATGGGCCAAGGCCAGTTCAGTAACCCTCTCCTCTGCTGTCCAGGGACCAACCTGGGGAACTCTCCTTGGACCTGGGAACCCCTCTAGAATCAAGTCTCTTGCAAATCCTAAAATGGTTCCCTTAGTTGAGATATATACTTCCCTGCTCCCAAATCCATCCTTCCTCCCTCCCCCCTTCCATTCCCCCAAGCTTTCCCCAATCCTCCCATACTCCCTTCTCTCTAACCCCCGCCCCCTGCACCCAAGGTTGCCTGGCAATCTTGTCTACTTCCAATATCCAGGAGGATAACTATATGATTTTCTTCAGGTTCACCTTCTTATTTAGCTTCTCTAGGATCACGAATAATAGGCTCAAAGAACTTTAATTATGGCTAGAATCCACTTATGAGTGAATACATACCATATTACTCTTTTTGTGTCTGGGTTACCTCACTCAGTAAAGCGTTTTCTATGTCCATCCATTTGCATGCAAAATTCAAGATGTCATTGTTTTTTACCACTGAGTAAAACTCTAATGTATATATGTTCCACACCTTTTTTAACCATTCTTCTATTGAGGGGCACCTAGGTTGTTTCCAGGTTCTGGCTATTACAAATAGTGCAGCTATGAACATAGTTGAACAAATGCTTTTGTGGTATGATAGGGCATCTCTTGGGTATATTCCCAAGAGTGGAATTGCTGGGTCCTGAGGGAGGTTGACTCCCAGTTTCCTGAGAAACCGCCACACTGATTTCCACAGTGGCTGCACAAGTTTGCATTCCCACCAACAAAGGATGAGTGTTCTCCTCACTCCACATCCTCTCCAGTATAGGCTATCATTGGTGTTTTCGAGTTTAGCTAATCTAACCAGTGTAAAATGGTATCTCAAAGTGGTTTTGATTTGCATTTCCCTGATCGCTAAGGATGTTGAGCATGACCTTAAGTGTCTTTTGGCCATTCGAAGTTCTTCTGTTGAGAATTCTCTGTTCAGTACAGTACCCCATTTTTTTAAATTGGGTTAATTAGAGTTTTAGTGTCTAGTTTCCTGAGTTCTTTGTATATTTTGGAGATCAGGCCTTTGTCTGATGAGAGGTTGGTGAAGATCTTCTCCCAGTCAGAAGGTAGCCTTTTTGTCTTACTGACGGTGTCCTTTGCTTTACAGAAGCTTCTCAGTTTCAGGAGGTCCCATTTATTCATTGATTC